ACAAATTTTGTCAAACTTTCAAAGAAGGGATCATTTTAATTGTGTTCTATTCTCCCTCATTTATTCTCTGAGGCTAATATAAAGTGTAATATTCAATCCAGACTCAGACATATAATAAAGAAAACAGGCAAATTTTGTTCATGCATGTATATGCAGAAATCCTAAGCAAATAAATGTTAAGGGTATGTAAGAAAATATACACATCAGTGACCAAGGTAGGTAGTTCAGTGTTAGCAAACAGCTAAATAACAGCAGGGCCTGTTAACCCCAGCTACTCAGGAGGCAGAGGCAGAAGGATGTTGAGTTCAAGGCCAACCTGGACAAAGTTAGCCAGACCCTTCCTCAAAAGCAATACAAACGAGAAGATATGTACTATCACTGCTTTTATTGTAACAGATGTTCTGGCAAGTGAAATGAGATAAGAAAAAAAAGAAAAGTTTATAAAGGAAGTAAAACTGTCATTGCTTGCAAACAGTGTGACTGTTTACATAGAAAACCCAAAAGAATCAACAAATAAGTTAACAAATAATAAATAAGATAAAAGTAGCTTATATACCATCACTATATAAAAGTCAATTTCATTTTCTACACCAGCAACAAACAAAAATCCCAACTGAAAAGACTTGGTTTATATAGTAACTCTTTTTCTTTTGGCAGTGCTAGGGTTTGAACTCAGGGCCTCATGCTTGCAATACAGGTGCTCTACCACTTGAGCCACTCCACCAGTGAAAAGCCTAGGTTTAAAATAGCTCCCAGAAAAAAGGAACCCTCTTACAGTGTTGGTGGGAATGTAAACTAGTACAACCACTCTGGAAAAAAATTTGGAGGCTACTTAAAAAGCTAGACATCGATCTACCATTTGATCCAGCAATACCACTCTTGGGGATATACCCAAAAGACTGTTACTCCAGAGGCACCTGCACACCCATGTTTATTGCGGCACTATTCAAAATAGCCAAGTTATGGAAACAGCCAAGATGCCCCACCACTGACAAATGGATTAAGAAAATGTGGTATCTATACACAATGGAATTCTATGCAGCCATGAAGAAGAACGAAATGTTATCATTCGCTGGTAAATGGATGGAATTGGAGAACATCATTCTGAGTGAGGTTAGCCTGGCCCAAAAGACCAAAAATCGTATGTTCTTCCTCATATGTGGACATTAGATCAAGGGCAAACACAACAAGGGGATTGGACTATGAGCACATGATAAAAGCGAGAGCATACAAGGGAGGGGTGAGGATAGGTAAGACACCTAAAAAATTAGCTAGCATTTGTTGCCCTCAATGCAGAGAAACTAAAGTAGATACCTTAAAAGCAACTGAGACCAATAGGAAAAGGGGAACAGGTACTAGAGAAAAGGTTAGTTCAAGAAGAATTAACCTAGAAGGTAACACCCACGCACAGGAAATCAATGTGAGTCAATGCCCTGTATAGCTATCCTTATCTCAACCAGCAAAAACCCTTGTTCCTTCCTATTATTGCTTATACTCTCTCTACAACAAAATTAGAAATAAGGGCAAAATAGTTTCTGCTGGGTATTGGGGGGGGAGGGAGGGGGCGGAGTGGGTGGTAAGGGAGGGGGTGGGGGCAGGAGGGAGAAATGACCCAAGCCTTGTATGCACATATGAATAATAAAAGAAAAAAAATAAACAAATAAAATAAAATAGCTCCCAGAACAAAACTCACAAATGCATAACAAACTACATGCAAATAACTATAACCAGTACTGAAAGACACTGGGCAAGATCTAAATAAAGGAGATGTAGTCCAAGCCAAGAACAAGAAAGCCTCAGAAAGACATCTGATTGTCTAAACTGATCTCCTGACTCAATGCACTTTCAGTCAAATTCTCAACAAGGAAAATTTTTTGCTTTTAATAATGGTAGTCTAGTTAATTCAGACTAGGTTCCTACAAAAGAAATCTTGAAAAATATGGCATACAACTTTTTAAAAAAATCTTCTTGAGGTGGATGTGGTAGTACACACTTGTCATCCCAGCCCTGGGGTGGGAGGGAGTCTAAGACCTTCTCCAAAAAAATAACTAAGGCAAAATATGACTGGGGAGATGGCTCACGTAGTAGAGTAGATGGCGTCCTGAGTTCAAATACTTACTGGGTTGAGTAGTCTAAGAAGACACTAGTCCAGAAGACGCCAAGTCCTTGTGTTGCCTGAACAGAGACACAAATTGCAAAACTTACTGAAAGAAAAGGAAGAAAGAGTAAGAGGAAGCACCTCACGGGAAGTGGTGGGCCCCTGCCAGGTGGCACAGAAGTATTAATTTCTTTCTTAAGTCCATTTCATAAGTTGTAAGACAGGAAAAATCTGGGCAGTCCTTAGGGAGGAGCTAGGGTGGCTGGCAGGTATATTAACACAGCTATCACATAACAGGGGTAGTCTGCGCATGTGCTTATGCTAATATTTGGTCTTTAATTGTATGTATGAGATGTGACTGATATTCATGAGGTCTTAAGTAAGAGGATTTAGTCTGGGAGACAAAATTGGGCGCAGGCCTTTTTTTTACAAGCAAGGCAGGCCCAAAGAGGTACCTCTTCTGGACACTATCTTGCAATTATATTTACAATCACCAGGGTATTTATTGCTGTAGAGTTGGCTCAGGCCAGCTGGGGTGCCTGTTAGCTTTGTTTGCAAGAGAAGAGAGCCCCTGATAAATTATTTTCCCTGTTTGCTAGCCTGCCCCACAATGACTAACCTGGGACACAATTAAAGTAAACCAGACACTTAAGGTGACAAGATAAAATTAGCAGAAACAAATAACAGCAAAAGAAACACAAGGTCTCCAAACAATGGACTTCTCAAACACAAGCTATCAAATAACTATCTTTACTATGATCAAGGAGATTAAAAAACCAACCCAGAAAACTTGGCAAGAAACTGAAAATGGCACAGAATATTTGAAAGGGAACAAACTAAAATTCTAGAATTAAAAATATAACCAGGTGGATGGCTTTAATACTGGCTAAGATGCAGCTGAAAAGAAAATTAGTAAAGTGGATAATATATAAAAATGAACAAATGCATGTGTACAGTACACATGCCTGCACACATACAGATGAAGGACACAGGGAAAGAGAAAAATACAAAAGAGACAAAGAACATAGTGAGAAGGTCTAGCATACATTTAAGTAGAGTCCCTGAGATATGAAAATGTCACATAAGCAATATGTGAAGAAGCAAAGGCTCAAACTTCTCCAAAACTGAAGAAGGACCTTCATTCAGTTCCAAGAATCTCACAAATCCCAAGCAGGATAAATAAAAAGAAACACAAAGGCGCCTTATGGTGAAACCATACAAGCAAGAGCTGAAGAAACATGAAAACAAAAAAGTAACCAAAAAAAGCAATGGCAATCTTTATAAAAATTTTTAGCAGAGTTAATGCAAGGAAGCTAAATTTCTACTAAGTGAAAATATCACAGTGACTAAAGGATTCTTGCCTTCTGAAAAGCACACAGATTTTAGAGAGAATGAGACAACAGGTCCTTCCAAGGGAGGGCATGTGGCCATACTGTACCAGCAGAAAGAACAATAACACCAGGAGTTCTGCACTCCTCCAGAGTTTGCTGTGTTCAGTATGTTGGGGAGTTCATATACTGCTATTTGATGGTGCAAAATAATGTGTTGAGGGAAAAAATTTATGCTTCCTCTATTTACCAACCATGTATAAATTAATCCTCTTCAAAGAAATAGGTGTTATAGTAGAACAGGTTGTATACATGGTGAGAAATGAAAATGCAACAGTAGCGTATGTTGAGAAAGGAATTAATGGAAAAGATCTTTAAATCATTGCACTGTCCAAAAGGAGGATAAAAATATCAACTACCACTGATTTCTAGAAATTAAGAATGCATTTGTTAGGTTTGGCTAATTGCTACAATAAACCACCCCCAAATCTCAGCGGGTACAGAATGGATGTTTCCTTTCGCTCCTGTCATAGACTGATGCTGGTTGGTGGGCTGTGTTCAGGACAGCTATTCGAGGGTCCAAGTTCTTGGCGTGTAGTGATCCCTCATCCCGGATCCCGAGCAGGGGTGCGGTCTACGGCCATACCACCCTGAACGCGCCGGATCTCCTCTGAGCAGGGGAGCGGGAGACGTTTTTTAGAAGCCAAGGATAGAGGTGGTGATGTTCTTTAACTGGCAAGCAGAACAAAGGAACGGGAGTTTGGCCATCCTACAGCTTTGTCTCATTATAGTAAGAGAACAGAAACAAGTTTCAAACAAAGGGGGAAAATGAATTGATTTAAAAATATATTGAGCTGTGCGCGAGTGGCTCACGCCTGTAATCCTAGCTACTCAGGAGGCAGACAGAGATCAGGAGGATGATGGTTCAAAGCCAGCCCTGGAAAGTAGTTCATGAGACCCTATCTCGAAAACACCTTCACAAAAAGAGGGCTGGTGGAGTGGCTCAAGGTGTAGGCCCTGAGTTCAAGCCCCAGTATATATATATATATATATATATATATATATATGTACTTGCCTGTTTTTTAATTCACTGTATATATTTATTTATATATATTTATATACTGAATTCAAAAACAGTTAAGAAAGTAGAGAAAGGTAATGGTTTCCAGTCCAAAGGACACCCCTGCCTGGCTTAGGAAAATGTCTTGGCCTCTCTGAGCCTTCGTTTTGTAAATACAAAATGCAACTCGCTTTAGAGGGATGGCATTCTGATCAAATGAGATGATTTTGTGCTTAGCACCAGCAGGTCACAAACTTCCTATAGCTATGGGTATATGGCTAGTTACCATTGACACCTGCTGCGTCACCTGCCTGGAGGCTCGGTAGGGCAACTTCAGCGCAGGGCAGTGCACCAGCGTGGGGGGGAGGGGCGCGGGGGGGCGGAGGCCCCCAGCCTCTCTCTGGCCCCGCCCCGCGCGTGGCCACGCCCACCGCACAGGGACGAGCGGTTGCCTAGCAGCAGGTGCCGCGCGGCATCCCTGACTGCCGCGGGCCTGGCCGCAGACTGCAGCTTCATGCCCAAGAACGCAGTGGTCACCATGCGCTACGGGCCGTACAGCGCGGCGGGCCTGTCGGTGGAACACCGCACCTTCCGCCTGGAGGGCCTGCAAGGTGGGTCACCTTGCTCCGTAACCATCTGTGTGCCCCAGCTCCGGTATCCTTGTAGTCTGAAACGTCTGCCTAGACCTTCTTCCTTCCTCAGCCCCAACCTAGAGCCACCTCCTCCAGGAAGTCTTCCAAGAGCCAGACTCCCCAGGGTGATTTAGTATCTTCCCCTGCTTGGTTATAAAAGTGAGAACAAACCTGAGATGTGGGCCCACTGAGTGCAGGCAGTTTACCCACATTATCTTAATATAAAAAATTACCTAACCCCCCTTTATGAATTGGGAAACTTGGGAAATGACAAGTGCTGAGATTCTATTCCTTGATCATTCATTCATGTAGCAAATCCTTATTGAACATCTAGTGTGTGGAGGGGGGACCCTTGTGGGTACTGAGGGATTACCATTGAACAATGCTGTACACACTTGCAGTCTTCCCATTGTTGACTACTAAGTGACAGAGTAGAGGGTACCATGGGAATCTCCCCATAGTGGGCCTGTGACTGTTCATAATTAAGGGAGACTCATTGAGGAAATTACATTTAAGCTGAGCTTTAAAGGATAAGTAGAAACTAACCAGGTAAGGAGAGGTGAGGGCTCTCCAGGCAGGACTGATACCTACGAAAGCCAACAACATGATCACGTGTTGGAGTTGCTGAATCAGTGAGAGGGGAGGCCACAGAGAGACAGGAGTCAGATCCTGCAGGACCACCAAAAGCTTTAGGCAGGGCTGCTCTGAGAGCAAGTTAGAGCTGCCAAGGGGGGAGGCAGGGAAGCCAGTTAAGGGCTGCCGTGGTGGGCCACAGTTGGGAGGAGAGCCTGGAAAGGACAGCCATAAAGGGGACAGTGGCTGAAAGTAAGAGCTACTGTACAGCCTGAGAGGGTGGAAATGGCAGGCAGGGTAAAGAGGATGCCACCTGGATCCCATCAGGGTTTGCTAGAGACTGCTGAATGGAAATATTTTCCACCAAAACTGAAAACAGCAAAGATGGGACAATTTGGAGGAACATGTTCCATTTCAGACATATTAAACTTCAGGTGTTTGTAGCTTACCTAGGTGGAGGTAGAAAGTCAAATCTGCAGCTCTAGAGATCAGAAGAAAAGTCCAAACTGGAAGTAGAAAGGAATGATCCAGTTACAGGAGAACATTCAGAGTGGAAGAGAGTCCAGGACTGAGACTTGGTGAACTCCATTATACAATCCAAACTAAAGATCTTCCTGGAAAAATGCTATAGGAGTTCAGAGGACATGAAAAATCAGTTTTGGCCCAGCAATCAGGGGAGGCTTCTGGTGAAAGTGGTATTTGAGTTCAAATTTGAAGGACCTCATCTGGCAGAGAATGTTGCTTTCTGGGAGAATGGTTAAGACATTTCTGGTGTAAACAGCTCAGTGTTGGTGTTGGTGTACTAGGGCTGCCAAAACAAAATGCCACAGATTGGCTGATCTCAAAAGCAGAAATCTTATCTCCCTACAGTTGGAAGGAAGAAGTACTTGGTCAAGGTCAAGCCCTGGTTGAGAGCTCTCTTCCTGACTTGCTGACAGCTGCCTTCTTCCTCACCCTCTCGGGTGGGTGGAGGAAAAGGTGAGGGCAGCAGGCAAAGTGCTCTCTTTTTATAAAGCCCCGGTTACCTCCTCAAGGCCCAGTCTCCAATGCACACACAACCCAAGGGGAAGGGAGGACAGTCCAGCGCACAGCAGTGTCTTACAGAGATGCTTAAAATACTGGCACAGCCCAGTAACCGGCTTCTCTTCCTGCCATCACTCGCTCACCACACAGCCCACCTTCAGCTTTTGTCCCCTGAATTCTGAGACCCACAGCTACAGCATTTCTCTAAAGAGAACATGGATCTTAGACAGCTGAAGAGACACTCAAGGTGACAGCTTTTGTATTTCTTCGCTTTGTCCCCAGCCTCCTGACTTCTGTAGAACTTTTTTTGTTCTTTGCCCCAAATTTAGGGCAGCTCCTCCCTCTACATCCTACCTCCACATTTTCTGGCAGGTCAGCTATTTCTTGTCTTCCGATTTTTAAATTGTGGTAAAATGTATAAACTCTCCATTTTAACCATTTCAAGTTTCAACTCAGTGACATCAATTACATTCACAGTATTATAGCGCCATCACTCATCTATTTCAACACCCCAAACTCTATATGCAGTAGTCAATAATAACTGTCACTCCTCCCAACCCAGCTTCTGATAACCTCTAATCTACTTTCTGTCTGTATGAGTTCTAGATATTTCAAATAAGTTAAGCCAACAATATGTGTTCTTTTGTATTGATTTAATTCAGTTAGCATATTTTCAAGATTCACCTATGTTGCAGCACACATTACACTTCACTCTCTTTTATGGCTGAATGATATTCTGTGATAGGTGTATACCAGGCTTGTTTATCCATTTATCTCTTGATGGACACTTGGGTTTCCACTTTTTGGCTATTGTGAATAGAGCTGCTGTGAACATGAGTGAACAGATATCTGGTTGAGTCCCTTTGTTTCAAGGGATTGGAAGTCCTGAATCATATGATAACTGTATTTAACTTTTTTTTTTTTTGAGACAGGGGCTTGCTATGTTACCCAACTTGGCCTGGAACTTGCTATGTAGTCCACATGCACCTCAAGTTGGAGATCCTTCTATCTCAGCCTCCCCAGAGCTGGGACTGCAGGCACATACCACCACGCCCAGCTTCTGTTTGACTTTTGAGACCTTTCGTCGTGTTTCCCAAGCAGCTGACCCATTTCTCATCCCCCGGCAATGCGTGAGGGTTCCAGCTCCTCCATAGTCCTCCCAACACTTACGATTTTGCTTTATTTATCCCCAGTTTTAATAGGTATAAAATGATTTCTCATGGAGTTGACTTGCATTTCCCTTAAAATTAATGATATTGGGCATCCTTTCATGTGCTTATAGTCTGTCTGTACATCTTCGGAGAAATGTCTGTTCAGATGCTCTGCCCTTTTTTAAACTGGGCTGCTGTTCCTTTGTTATTGAGTTGGAAGAGTTCTTTATAGATTTTGGATACTAGACTCTTAACATATGTATGATCTACAAATATTTTCTCCCATTTTATAGGTTGTGCTTTTGCTTTCTTAATGTGCAAAAATTTTAATTTTAATGAAGTCCAGTTTATTCTTCTTTTGTTGCATGTGCTCTGAGGTTTAAGATACTATTGTCAGATCTAAGGTTATACTCTAAGGTCTTATTTTAAAAGTTTTTTAAATTTCTAGATTTAGATCTTTGATCCATTTTGTAGTTTTGTTGTTGTTGTTTTCAGGACTGGGGTTTGACCTCAGGGACCCAAGCTTGCTAGACAGGCACTCTATCACATGCCTCAAGCCCTTGAGTTAATTCTTGTATATGGTGTAATGTAAGGCTCCAACTTAATCCAAAAGTTATTCATATGGCTATCCAGTTTTCCCAGCACCATTTGTTAAAGAGACTGTTCTTTACCCTTGGAATGGTCTTGACACCATATCAAAATGAACTGGTCAATCATTTACCTCTATCAGTGTGAAGGTTTGGTTCTAGGCTCTCAATTCCATTCCATTTTTCTCTATCCTACCCTTGTGCTAGTACTAACTGTTTTGATTATTGTTGTTTTGTAGTAAGTGTTGAAATCAAGAAATGTGAGTCCTCCAACTTGGTTTTGACTATTCTGGGCCCCTAAAAATTCTGTATAAAATTTAGAATAGGCTTTTCCATTTCTTAAAAAACACTATGAGATTTTTAATAGGGATCATATTGAATTTGTATAATGCTTTGGGTAGTATTGTCATCTTAACAATATCAAGTCTTTAAATCCATGCACACAGGATGTACTTTCATTTATTCAGGTCTTCATTAATTTCTTTCAACAATTTTTGTAGCTTTCATTCAATGTACAAGATTTGCATCTTATTGCAAATCTTGTTTTATTTATTCCTTAGTATTCTATTCTTTTCCTTAGTGTTTTATTCTTTTTAGATGCTATTTTAAGTGGATTAATTTCCTTTTCAGATTGTTCATTGCCAGTGTCTATAAGTACAGTTGCCTCTTTGTGTTAATTTGGTCTCCTTCAGCTTTGCTGACTTCATTTTTAGCACTAACAGGGTTTGTTTTCATTTTGTAGACAGTAGAGATTTTTGGATCATTACAGATCATGCCATCTGTAAATAGAGATAGTTTTTCTTCTTCCTTTCCAATTTGGATGGTTTTGTTTGTTTGTTTGTTTGTTTTCTTTTGTTTTGCTTTGATTTTTTTTGCCTAGTTTCTCTGGTAGGATCCCAATTCTAAGTTGAATAGATGTGGTATAAGCCAGCATCTTTGCCTCATTGCTGATCTTAGGGGAAAAGGTTTTGCTCTATTTGTGTGAGTGTGCTAGCTGTGGGTGTTTCATGTGAATAGGCTTTGTCATGACAAGGAAGCTTCCTTATATTTCTAGCTTGTTGAGGTTTTTGTTTATTTTTTATCATGAAAAGGTGTTGTGTTCTGTCACATGCCTTTTCTGATTGACTAAAATGATCACATGGTTTTGCCCTTCATTTCTACTCATATGATAAATTGCATTTATTGCTTTCATATGGTGGACATCTTGCATTCCTGGGATTAGACCTGCTTGGTCTTGGTACATAATCCTTTTGCTATGCTGGTGAATTTGGCTTGTTAGTTTTTGCTGAGGATTTTGAATGAATATTCATGAGGGACCTTGGTGTATAATTTTCTTACAGCATCTTTTACTTTGGCATCTAGAAAATGTTAGCCTCAGAGAATGAGTTTGCAAGTTCTACCTCCTCTCTTAGTTTTTGGAAGAGTTTCAGAAATATCTGTGTTAGTTCTTTTGGGTGATGTTTACTAATGAAACTATCTGGTCCTGGGGTGTTTTTTTTTTTTTTGGTAGGGGGGATTACTGATATAATATCTTTACTTCTCATAGGTCTATTCAGATTTTTATTATTCTTAAGACAGTTTTAGTAGTTTGTGCTTATAGAAATTCAACTGTTTTATCTAGGTTGTCTAATGATAACCTAAATCT